TCAAATAAGTACAAGATATAATTTTTTCGTGCATGTTTTCCATAAAATGCTTTTGAATTTATAAAGGCAGTCAAAATCAATGATAAAAAGGCATACAACTTAAGTAGTCGTGAATTTATAAAGGCAGTCAAAATCAATGATAAAAAGGCATACTACTTAAGTAAAATTTATAAAGGCAGTCAAAATCAATTATAAAAAGGCATACTACTTAAGTAGCTAAAGGCAGTCAAAATAAATGATAAAAAGGCATGCTACTTAAGTAGCCAGTTTTTACAATTGATAAGTTTTGCTGGTGGTTAAAACGAAGCTCGTTTAAAAGCCTGCATCCTATCCTGACTGAAATGACTTCAGAATAGACTACGCGATAATCAGTATGACAACCTGAGTCAATGCCGATTAGCGAAAGAGTATCAATCTTTCGCATATGTCGACATGTTGCGTGATCTTTGGCGACTACTGTATGTCAGGTATTGGACTACAGTTAGATTCAGATCATATTTCAAATAGCGGAAACCTTTCGACCATTTCAGTGCTTTTAAGCCTTCTTCGATAAATGTAGATTCTATTTGATGTTTATATCAAAACCTTTAAAATAAAATATTTTATAAGAATTTACCAAAACGTGTTTTTTGAATTCTAGGTCGTATGAAGATAGCCATGTGGGTCATATGTTTAAACTACAGAAATCACCAAACTTCATTGTCGAGCAAAAATAACGTTCACATCAGAAGTCTGACATTATAATGCTTACGATCAGTTAAAAAATTCTATAATAGTTTACTTCTTTAGAAAGAATTTTAATGAGGGTTTCAGTTGAAGACTATCTGTGAATGTTGCCCTTTTCACTCCTAGCACAACGCATATAAATAAAAGGTTTGGTTCTGTCGTACTAAATAGTAAAGGAAATTTGTCTGATGCCAAGCAACCTCCGGTTGCACGAAATTTCTGCATGTTACCCTTAAATAAACTGAAATAAACAGACAATTTTCATTATTAGAACGCTTTTTAGGATCGAATCCACTCGTTACATCAAAATAACGTCAATAAATATATGCTAAACTACCAAGTCCGATTTTGATCACGACTGTGCGTGAATTACTTCACTTCACCTGTAATTCGCTTTTGACGAAATCAGTGTGCAACCCTTGCGTGCTCTGAGCTGCAATCCTTGAAAGATCACTGTGGAATTTGTTTCTTTGAAGATTCAGATTACGCACTAGGCCTCTGCCAGCGCTCGAAGAGCATCCTTGGCATCTGCACAGTTCTTGTGTCTGCCCAGTTAGTAGGGCATCGAGGCATGGCATTCATTCTGCTGATTCTGTCTCCAACTTCAACCTGATGGATGAATGGATGTATCCCGACCAAATACCCATTGCATCAAAGTAAGTTTTTTTGCTCCAAAGCAATTCTCTATTTGGCGTCGAGCCCCCTTCTGTAAAATTTCCATCGACTGATGCATATGTTGACCTGGCACTTTTCAAGTCTTCACGCAAATAAGTTGGTTAATTATAGACTTACATTTTGCTCCATGAGCATTCCCTCTTCCGGTTTTTCAGAGGTTCCTCCAGCAAAAAAATGATCTTGATTTTACGGCTCACTTCTAGAATCGCACACAGGCGCAAACTGCTTCCCATGGGGGAGAAAGGCCCTAGAATCAAGTGAATTTACGCTTTTTTCTCAAAAGTATAATTTAGAAAAGCGTAGGACTAAAAAATATCGGTTACACAGAAGATCGATGTTACAAATATGTTTGCCTTCCGCAGAAAAGAGAACTGGATCGCATTTGATCAGCCCTGCCAGACAAATTTTTTTACCAGTTGGCACTGGTAGAAGGTAGAATACACCAAAGGGAAACACCATGCATATGATGCACCACTAAACAAACGCAGGAAGGCTAGTTCGATGTCGGTAAAATAATTCTAAAGTAATGCAACTATTTTTGTAAAAAAACGGCGGGACTGTCCTTAGAGGTCCCATCTGCCTTTGACTTATAAAAATAATCTACTTTTACCTTTTCAGTAATCCGACTTTCCCGTTTTTCGTTAAATTTCGCCAAAGGTAGGGTTGAATTACCCCTTTTTCGTTAAATTGCGACAAAATAAGGTTGAATTTCCCTCAACAGAAATCAGTTTCGCCTGAGCAACAGAAGTTTATCTTGACGGATTTGATTCTGTTAACTACATTGAAGCAAACATAGGTTCCCCTAATTTAATATTTTTTGCCCACTTCCAACACGATTAAGTATTCATTCACACTCGCTAACCAAAAATTAAATTTTTGACCAGAAACTACTTTGGACAATTGGGCAGGGGGATATATATTTAAGTGGTCCTACAAGGCAGTTTCGCCAAACAAAAAAGATTTTTCATGGCAACGTATCTGATAAATTCATAAAGAGATGGGTAAGGCCTTTCGCGAGCCTTATGGGTCTCAAGAGGGCATGCAGTATTGTCGACAAATCCACCTACGATAGAAGCGAACAGATGAGTTCCAGGAAGCGCTTTAGAAGGAGGGAATGCGATAACTGGAACGAAAAGTTTACTGGCTTGACCTTTCGAGAAAAGCAACACGCCAGTGAAATCGGGAGATTATTCCGGACGTGAATGGTCGAGCAAACGGCAGCAGTGACGAGAAAAGACGCCACCTCTCCGGTTGCGTCTTATTCGACGGGACCCGGCTATATGTCCACATTTTATGAGGCCGAAATCATCGCAAGAGCCGGCAACGGTGTGAACCACGAGGTGTTCGAGTCATGTTTATCAGGCTCGCAGTCCATTAACAAGCGCAATGACCTGCCGTTCCCATACCCTGTACTGAGACTTCGCCTGAGCAGGGAAATTGATCACATGGGAATGGTGCGACCGACCAACAATTTTAATGACAGCAAGGCAAATTGCTATGCAATTATCACGCCAACATGCAACAAGAATTAGGAAATCGCGCCAGCGAACGCTTCGTATGCGAACTGCCAAGCCTTAATCTCATCAGTTACGATCCCCTCAGCGGGGATCTAAAGAGCTGTTACTTATAGTATGCATGTGGTCACGCGGCCCCTTTCAGACTATAAATACTGCATTCTTTGTGCCTCCACTATTCTTATCCGCAGCCATCTCTGATTATGTGTAGGAGGGAAAATCCAAAACGTCAGGCCAATGCACTTCTTGTTCCTACAATAATACCTTCTCCTACTGAGATCCAGTTCTCTGACTGAAGGTTTAAAATAAGCTGCAAGTACGAACTGTTCCATGGCGTATTTGTGCTTTATTTTCTCTAGTAGGACAAGGTGCATCAAGCGAACTAGTCAACGTCTGTTCGGGATAATGCAAGAACTCCCGTCAACATTTAAAATCATTGTGAATCGAAGATTAACAAGAACTCAGTCATCGCACATGCAATGGATCTTGGCCACTTTAGGAAAGTCCATAATCTATCCTAAGCTCTGATGGCGGTTCCAAATAGTCGTACTGGGTTCGATGGAATTTCTATTAAGAAAGCGGGTCCTCTGCGTGCAAAATACGGTAAGAAATGGACGTATTTATCCCCATCCTAAAGTTCCATTACTTTTCTTTCCTCTGCACCAAAACAGGTGTGCAGCGCAAAGGTTATTTTTCCCTTTGTATATACTTCAGAACAACTCTTCCTCTCCTAGGGGACTCCCTGTACCACCGGTCCCGTAGTACAGGGGGAATTTGCGCCATAATTCAACCGAGGTGCATACGGCCACTCCCGAATCAAAATAGATTCATGTTCTGACCATGATGGACTGCGAAGCCGAAACCTGCATGCAATGAAAAAGAGAAGACCGGTTATGAGGGCAGGGTTTGGTGGAGCCAGTCTAGGGGAGAAAGACAAACAGAGAGAGCTTGGATGAGTGCATGCCGCTAAGTGATTGTGGGTCACGCCAGACGTGGAGCTTGTAGGGGGGGTTTTTCACACAACGCCGGCTTCATCAGCTTGATAGCGGTCGTTTCTGCTGTTGTTAG